CTCTCTCTCTCTCTCTCTCTCTCTCTCTCTCTCTCTCTCTCTCTCTCTCTCTCTCTCTACATGGTATACATATAGTCGTCCAGTAAAGTTCCAGTTTCATAATAGAACAGGAAAGCTGTTCTCGAGTTAAAACAGCAGTTTTCTTCCTATTCTGAAATTAAGTTGAAATTTTATTATTGAAGATAAAAGTTTTCATACTAATCATAATTTTTTATTTATTTCAATAATTTGCTAATTTTTTTCATAAAAATTCATCACGTAATAATTGTCATCATTTTTTTCAAGAATATATCGTATATATATATCGTAATGTATATTATAATTTTATGAAGATAAAACATTAATAATCAGGAGCGTATAAAACATATTTAATCGCAATTCTTCAAATACGCTTTATATACACAAATAGTTAGCAAGTTAGCAGTTTTCATCACGTGAAAATCTACAATGAAGTCACGATACTTGATCATTTATCGACAGCAATATATTATCAATATATTATTAATATATATATCGTTGTCAATATATTTCGATCATTCCATTCGATCAAATATATCGATCATTCCAATAATTTATAATTAAATATCTCTTGTTAGACGAAATCTAAAAGCAATCCAAGAGATTGAGTCTTGTTGATTCACATACTGTGGCCTGGATATTGTGTATTTTTCGCATCAGACCTAGATTCCGATGAATAATCGAATCACTAACAAGTTGTTGCCGGCGAACACCGAACATGGTATTTACCGTACATGCATGTACATAGTGTCTTGGTCATCGTTCAAGCATTAAGGACATTCTAATTATACGTTACCAAAATAAGAATAATGGAATTAAATGGTATTACGAAATTTTTAACAAAAAAAAAACATCGATTTCTTACTTTGTTTTATAATTAAACGAATACTATTCTCGATTAATTTATCGATGTTAAAATACAATATATAATATACAATGATATAAAGTAAAGAAATATTTTTAAATTATATTTTTATTATTATTATATAATATAGTATGCAATAAATTTTTTTAAATAATTGAATGAATTAATTATGAGGAAAATGCTTACTATATAAATTTTAATGAATCTTTAGAAGATTTTAATTTCTAAAATTTATATTTATAAAATTATTTTGAATATTAAATTATGATCAAATAAATCAAAAAAAGTATAAAATATAAAAAATTAGTTAATTAATTACTATTAAAGAAATAAAAATAACTAATGTCCATTTAAGTGCAGTTGCACGTGTTTCAAGTTAAGTTTCACAGTCACGAATACCAACCACTCCGGGTGTACCAGTTTCGAAACAGGATGATTACAGAAAGTAGGACCTGGGTTGGGTCATCGGCGACGAAAGTAGGATCCAAATGAAAATTCGTGGAGAAAGAGACCGATTGCAATCTGCTGCTTCTTTTTTATGACTTTCCAATATGAGATTGTTACTTTTTTGTTATTATTTATAATTCTGTATATTGCTTTTCATGCAATTCTAAATGTCCAATTTGTGATCAATAACTAATATTTTAAATACATTCATCATAACTAACATAACAAATACGTATCATTAAACAATATAACAAATAATGTATCATTAAATAAAAATATTATGCACTTTTTGAAATAATATAAATTTGTTAATCGAATAAATTAAGTAAAAGCGGAATAAATTAAAGAACTATTATTATTTTTTCAATTATTACTACACTTATCAAAAGTGACAAATTATACGCATTAATGCATCATGTGCATAATTTTAACGATTATAAAAAACATAATCAAGAAGCTAAACTAATTTGATTGAATATTTATCAATAATATCCATTATTATTATTTTTTTTTTTAATTAAATATTTTAATGCAATATCTGACATATAATTTTTTTTTTTAATTTCATTGAATTTCTTGAATTTCTTGAATAAAATAACAAAAAATATTTTCGTCTATTTAATGAAAGTTTTATTTTTCTCTTGAGTCACAGATGAAACCACGGAAATACATCAAATAAAAACATATTGATTATAACGAAAAAGTCAAAGTGAATGAACGTAATGTTACATCTATTAATATGAAAGTCAATCCTCGCCAGATGAATCTTTGTTGGTGAAAGTTTAGGAACATCTGCTATAAATCATCCTTTAATATTTCCTTAAATGAATCACTTCAAATAACATAAAAAAAACGTTCTTTTCACACAAATTATAAATCAATTCACGTTTTATCTACATTGGAACGTTTTCTATATATCGAATGATAAAAGAATATGGAATTTTAAGTGCAGATAAGAATACCGAAAATATTAATTTTTTTGATTCACATTGATTAATATCTTTTTCTTATTTGGCAAATATTATCTAATCTTAAAAGTGAATTTTTTTATCAGCATTATAGATATTTTAACAAATTTATCGAATAAAATCGATATCTTTTATTTTATATAATTAAATACTATTTGATCTGATATGAATCTTTTTATTATCGATAATTTTATAATTTTATTGTTGGTAAGATTGCATAATGAAATTGATTTTATCGTCCCTTTTTCTTTTCGAGATCTATAATAATTAATATATATTAATAATTGTTTTTCTCTCGAATTTTAATTCCTTTATTGCTTACGTCGTATTCGCTTTCGATTTTTTTTTTTTTCTTAAGTAAACATATTCCATATGCTTCGATGTAGAAAGGAAAGTGAAACTGCTTACCTATGTACTACTTTACTTCCGCAACGATTATTCGATTTGCAACATGTATCAAAGACTTTATATTTTAATAACAATTCTATTATCTATTAATTAATCATTAAGAATAAAATTATTTATTTTGAACTTAAAATAATTATTTTATTATTGTATAATATATTATTTTAAGAAAATAAGAAAATATTATAGATTCTGATAGATTAATTGGTAATTATGAATTTTATTATAATCATTATTATGGAGTACTTTAATTCCTTAAATGGAATAGTTATTTGGAATAAAAAAAAAATATGACTCTTAAAAGAAAATTTTTTAATACTTATATTTCTTCTACTAGCGATATTAAAAGAACATTTTAACAATTTCGAATATTAGGCATTCAATCATTTCATGTATCATTTTTTTGTAAAGTTATTCTAAAAACTGATATTATGTACGATACTTACATTATGATACTTTTAACATTATTGTGAATGTCCATTGTGTTAAACCTTCAACATAATGAAATTGGCAAATTTGGAAAACAATAATAGACACATTATTATTCGAATAAATCTTATTCGAAAAAGATAATGATGACAACTTATGTATATATAATATTTCCTATTTCTTTTCATTTCGCTTGTTATCTTTTGTTTTTTTTTTTTGTTACGTCACTTCTTTTTATAAATTTAATAGAAATTTAAATTATATATAAATAAATAAATAATAAACATATTATAATGAAATTATATAATATATTAAAAATTTAGAGTATATATATATGATATAATAATTATAAATAATTTAATTTAAAATAAATTAAAATTAATATTAAAATTTTATTAATATTTAATATTATGATATTAAAATAAATTAAAAATTATAATTTTAAATTATTTACGAAAAATTTTCTTAATTTTTCTTATTTGTGTTACTACATCCTTTTAATATATCTGGTATACATAAATATTATATCACATGTTAATTTCAAAATTATGCTCATAATTTATGCTTTGTTTTCTAATGAAAGATATTTAAATAATTTTTATTACTTTAAGCAATAAATATTATTTTTAAACGTTATACTTTCAATAATAAAAATAGTAATAAAAAAGAAATAAATAACAAATAAAAAATCATTTTTCAATTATTTTAGATTTTTAAAAAATACTTAAATAAGGAAAAACAAATAGTAAAGTATAACAATTGATTTATTTAATTACAAAGTTTCAAATAATTAAAGAAGTGATAACATGAAAGTGTTTTCCCCTTGAAGTTTCTACTCTGATCATCGTCAATCCTGTCATCTATTTACAATCCATAAAGACATATTATAATGAAATATTATACTTAAGTTTATCTGTATAAGAAGGTACAACGAGATACATTGAAAATGGTTATACATTAGAAAGTAACGACACCTTTCACAAGTGTGCAAGTAATCAAATAATAGCCGGCCACGCTATTGTACACAACAGTGACGCGTTTTGTCAGAGAATTGCAATTTGTACAAGTGATTGCTTATATATAATGAGATTTTACTTTTACATCATAGTTAGTGAAAATCAATTAATGATTCATTTAGAATATAAAGTATTTTATAAGTTTTTAAAAAATTATATGTAAATATAATACATATAATATGTGTATTTATATTATTTTTTTTTTTTTTAAATAAATATATTGGATGAAATATTTTTACAAAATTTCTTTTTACGAAAAATTATAAAAACATTAATAATTAAGAAGATTAATTGTTTAGATTTTTTGTTCTTTAAGAAATCTAATTTGCAAAATCTTTCGAATAGAGATTTCCAGTTAGAAAATTTTGCTATATGAATATTTCTAATGATCGAATTATGGAGTTTTTTCTCTAGAAGGAATAACTACAAGATTTTATTGCATAAATTGTTCTGTTATATAACCAAACATAATATTTTCCAGTGAATGCAATATATTAATTCTATATCATCTTTATATAATATATTTTATGTAATTTGAAAATTAATTTGTAAAATATTATTGTAAAACATTATTAATTTGTTAACTACTCAATATGTTACGCTATTTAATTAATTTTATTTATTTATGTTATAATAAAATAGTAATAGTATAAATTATCATAAATTAATGTGTCTTATTTAGAATTATTAAAATAATCTAATATCATGCAATATTTTGTAAGAATATTTTTCTAAGAGAAACTTAGAAAATTGGAAACTTTAATTTTCTATTATTAAAAATTAGATTTTATAATGCAAAAAAATATATTTATATAAATTCATATTTTTATATAAGAACATAAATAAAGATAAAGAAAAGTAATATTTTATATTTTTAATATAATATATATATTTTACATATTTATGTTTAAGAATATATTCAAAAATATATATATTTTCTGTATTAATGTCATGCATGTTATATAAAATATCTATTTAATTTCATCAAATTAATTTCATTTATCGATAAATTCTTTTATCATTATTTATTGTATTGATAATAATATATAATCAATGCTGATTATAAATTATATTGCTTTTCATATTGCTAAATCATGCTTTTGTTTTTCAAGTTGTTAATTTAGATGCAATTTGTATTTTAAACAATTTATTTGTATGTTATTACAGCAATAAGATGAATTTTGAATTGTTTTTGAAAATTCTTTTTTAATATCTAAAATATATAGAATTCCAAAAAATAAAATATTATTAATAATATTTTACAATATTCTATAATTAATGGAGTTGTTTCCAAGACAATTCTAATTTTATTATTCATCAAATTAATGAATAAAGTACTTATTGCAAAATTTAATAAAAATATAAAATATGAAAGAAAATTAATAATTAAATTTATAAATTTTTAAAAATTAAATTAATAATTAAATATATAATAATAAAATCTTATAATATAAAAATTTTGGTGCATAAATTAATTTT